AAAATTCAGTGACTATTTTGGAAAGTTTTGAAATTTGGTGACCTCTTGGAAACTTTTGGCAAAGTTCAGTGACTATTTAGGTAATTAACTTGAAGTGGTTTGTTATCATATCAACATGATTATCCTTGGTATCAATCCTGCTCACTGCAATCATATCACGCACAAAATGGTATTTCACTTCAATGTGCTTATTCGTTTAATGGAACATCTAATCCTTAATCAAGAAAATAGCACTCTGACTATTACAATATAATGTAGAAATTTGTAAGTCTTCACCGATTTCACTTATCAATCTCCTCAACCAAATAGCCTCCTTACATATCTCTGTAATGGTCATGTATTCTGCCTTTGTTGTAGACAGAGCTAATATTTTGCAAAGTAACTTTCCAACTAATAGTACAGCCTCTAAGAGTAAACACATAACTTATAAGTGATCTCACTGCAAAATTTGAATCCACATACTTAATGACTCCATCTGTATTTTTACCAAAATGCAGGCAAGCATTAGTAGAGCCCATTAAGTATTTGAATATTCATTATACTGCTTTTCAATGTTTCTTGCAAGGATTTATCGTGTATCTACTAACTGTACTAATTGTAAGTGCCAAATCTGGTCTTGTACAAACCATAGTATACATAAGTGAACCAACTAATAGCACAGCCTCTAAGAGTAAACATATAACATATAAGTGATCTCATTTTTATCAAGATTCACTGTAAAATTTAAATCAACATACTTAATAACTCTATATGTATTTCTACCAAAATGCAAGCAAACATTAGTATAACCCATTAAGTATCTGAATATCCATTGTACTACTTTTCAATGTTTCTTGCCAATATTTGCCGTGTATCCACTAACTGTAAGTGCCAAATGTGATCTTGTACAAACCATATTATACATAAGTGAACCAACTAATAGCACAGCCTCTAAGAATAAACACATAACTTATAAGTGATCTCATTTTTATCAAGATTCACTGCAAAATTTGAATCAACATACTTAATGACCCCATCTGTAATTTCTACCAAAATGCAAGCAAGCATTAGTAAAACCCATTAAGTATCTGAATATCCATTGTACTGTTCTTCAATGTTTCATGCCAGGATTTGCCGTGTATCTACTAACTGCACTAACTGAAAGTGCCAAATCTGGTCTCGTACAAACCATAGTATACATAAGTGAGCCAACTGCACTGAAATTAGGAACTCGAGATATATAATCAATGTCTTCATCTGATTGAGGACATAATTCATACGATAATTTGAAGTGGGCAGTCAAGAGAGTACTGACAGCCTTAGCATTCAGTATATTGAACCTTTGAAATACCTTCTCAATATACCCTTTCTGACTTAAGTACAATTTTTTTGGCCTTTCTATCCTTCAAAATTTTCATATCAATATTTTTCTTTGTTGCACCAAAATCTTTCATCTCAAACTCCTTACTAAGTTGAGATTTCACATTTTTGACCTCTACTTTATTCTTGGATGTTATGGCCATATTATTAACATATAATAACAAATATATGATCGATCTGCAATCTTCTTTTTTGACGTACACACAACTATCACAATTAATTCTAATAAAGCTATGAGTAGTCATGAATAAATCGAACATTTTATACCATTGCTTTGGTGACTATTTCAATCTATATAAGGGATTCTGCAATAAGCACACAGAGTCATCCTTTCCAGAAACTATGAAACACTCTGGTTGTTGTATGTAAATGTTCTACTCAACTTTTCCATGCAATAATACTGTCTTAACATCCATCTACTTAAGCTCCTAATCATTATTTTCCACTATCTTAATTGAAGTCCTAATTGAACTATGCATTGCAATTGGTGAAAACACATCTATGAAATCAACACTTGGAATCTGACTGTAGCTCTTTGGTACCAATCTAGCATTATACCTAGTATCTTCAATACTTGATATCCATTCTTTCCTTTTGAATATCCACTTGCAGCGAACCTTTTATCCTTTGTTAATTTCACCAAATCCCAAGTACTGTTTTTATACAATGGCTCTACCTCCTTCTGCAGAGGAATCAACTATCTGTTAGAATCACTACAACAGACTATCTCTGTATATATAGCAGGCTCTTCAGTGGAATCAATATTTTCGACCACACTCAATGCATAAGCTACCAAATCTGCTTCTTTAACTTCTATAGAGGTCTGATCTGTCTGTGAGATCTATCCTTAGCAATTGAATACTATGGTGTTGCGGGTGGTGTAGGCAAATTAGGTATAGTATTACTGTCTGTCAAATTTGGACTAGATTGATCGGTAATAGACTATTTCGAGACATCTGATTGTCTTCCTGAACCAATTTCTAGCTCCACCTAAGTTGAATGATTCTATTCTTTAGTTTTATCAGAATCCCCACGAGTGAACCATGAATTATAGTAAGTTCATCAAGTACTAAATCTCTACTAACCACCATCTTCCTTGTCTCAAGACACCACAATTTATACTCCTTCACACCTAATTCATATCCAAGAAAATATACTTTCTAGATCTAGGTTCCAATTTTCATTGTCTACATGAGCATAAGCAGGATACCCAAATATTTTTAAATCCGAATAACAAGAATGTTTACCAGATCATACTCCTTCAGGTGTCTTTTTCTCAATGGCAGCCAAGGGTGAGCGATTAATCAGAAAAAAGCTGTAGTGGCAGATTCAACCCAAAAAAATCTTAGGCAATCCAAAATTTGGAAGCACACAACAAACCTTTTCCATCAAAGTTTTGTTCATCCGTTCCGTCACACCATTTTGTTGAGGAGTTTCAGGTGCTATCAAGTGCCTCAAGATGACCCATTAAGTCAAGTGTACTCAAAGATAAGAGATTTCGCTTCAATTCTGGAATGTGCCTTACATATGTAAATGTTTTAATAGTACCACCGAACATTCTGATTCTAACAATACAAAATTTGATAACTTTGCAAGACACATTGTTTTTCATAATCACTGTACCTCTCAAAACTCCTTCATATGTTGTAAACCAATCCCTGTTGGGACACATATAGAAAGTACATGTCGAGTCAAGAACCCATTTTTTCACAAGATTTGAAACCCATATCAGAAATCACAAGAAGCTTTTATTCACTTTGCCCATCTTTCACAACATCAGCCTTCGCTGTGTTGATAGATTGCTTTCCTTTATCAGTAGTGTCAGTAGCTTTATTTCTATTTTTTTATAGTAATCAGCTCTGATATATCCCTTCCACTTAACAGTATGATATACTTTCTCTGCATGTCTGGATTGTCCCTTATATTCCTACCAAGATTCCTATATTAAATTCTCCCACGAATAAATGGGTCTTCAGCTTGACTCCTAGGTCCTCCAGTAAGATGCCTCATCTTCTCCATAGATAGTAAATCATCATAGATCTCTTCCATAGTGAGTGTATCTCGACTATAGAGAATAATATCTTTAAAAGTCACATATGATGGCGACAGTGAACACAACAATATCAACGCCAAGTCCTCCTCATCATACTTAACCTCCAATGTATCCAAATCGGTAATGATTTCTTTGAATATAATTAAGTAATCATCCAATGACACTCTTCTCGAACATCCAGTAAGAATACAAGCATTGTTTTAAGTGTAACTTGCTGGTCAAACTCTTTGTCATACAAAGTTGCTCCAGCTTCAATCATAACGCAGTGACACTTCTTTCGTTTAGAATATCATGAAAAATTTGATTTGATAGATGTAAACGAATTTGAGATTGGACTTTTTGATCCCTACGCTGCTTTTTATCCTGCATTCAGGTTGAAGGCATCTCATCAAAGCCAACCAATGTTTCATCCAAATCTATCTGCTCGCATCTTTACTTGCCATAAAGTAAATATAGTATTTTGATCCAATAATGGTATATCATATTCATCATTGTCATGCGAAATAATCAATCTTGCTCTAATACGACTTGTTATGAATTAATCGCAGGATAATGACAATAATGAAATAAACAAGAAGCAAAAATAAAAAAACCAGAATGTATTTAGAAATCTAAGATGGGAAAAACCCAGATAGAGAAGGAGAAATTCACTATTATCCATAGTAATTGTATTTACAACAAGATCTCAATACTTTCAATTAAGAACTAAAAATCTTAAGATGCTATACGAATGCTATGTGAACAATACAAGCCGTGACTTATATATAAACATTATAAATCAAGTTGTAGATAAATAGGAGTTCAAAAATGTGTCAAAATGTGAAATGAGCTTGGGCCGAATAACACTGTCGCTTGAGCAACAGCTCTGCTGATTGAGAACCAGGTGAGCAACAAGCGAGTGACAAGTCTCTGTAGAAAATATGCAGGAGTTACTCGAGAGAGTCAGCTTGCGACAGGTTAGAGAAAATGCGACGACTTTTATTCCCGATCCGTAATTTTTATTTTTTCAAAATTATTACAACCAAAACTCCAATACCGAATAAAATTTGGGTCAAACTACAATACTTGGTTGTAGTGGATTTTTTCCCACGTCAAATATTTAAATGTGGCTTTGAATCCTTTGATGACAGTTGAGTGGCTTACAATCTTCAGTTGAAAACTTTAATTTAATACGAGATGATGTTATAATATTTGAAGTGTACTTAACGCCTTGACCTATAGTGATAGAATGGAAATAAACAAATTGTAAACCATGTGCAACTCTGGATGAGGGCTGCGTTGCTCTCTGATCCACCACCGGGATATTCGATCGGTGGGACGAAAGGGTGAGCAACTGGATTGGAGTTGCCGGTCGACTTTGCGATGGTCCCATATTTCAGTTTCCGGTACTGTTGCTACACCCTTCTCTCGGTCTCTTCCTTGTCATTGTACTTAACGCCTTGACCTATAGTGATAGAATGGAAATAAACAAATTGTAAACCATGTGCAACTCTGGATGAGGGCTGCGTTGCTCTCTGATCCACCACCGGGATATTCGATCGGTGGGACGAAAGGGTGAGCAACTGGATTGGAGTTGCCGGTCGACTTTGCGATGGTCCCATATTTCAGTTTCCGGTACTGTTGCTACACCCTTCTCTCGGTCTCTTCCTTGTCATCCATTTCATTCCTATACTGGTCTTGTTTTTCTGTTCAAACTAGGGAAGTGCAAGAAAGTCAACTACGATTAGATAAAGTCAACCTCCTCACGTTTCCATCTGCGTTGAATCTTTTCATCTTTCCGTCTCCACCACCACCGAGACTTCTTAAAATTGCTCTCTTCGTCAAGAAATGGCCGAGTAAACACCAGGCTGGAGGGCTTGAGCGACACGCCATGACTCTTCACCTGGCTCTTGCAAAGCGAGGCCACGAGCTCCATATCTTCACGACATCATCGTCTAACTTAACCATGATGGATAATGTGAATTTTCATCTCTCTAAACCAACACCTGCTGGCTATCTTGACCAAGCTCTTATATGGAAGCAATTTCAAGTACTGAACTCGACTGGACAGCCCTTCGATGTGATCCACACTGAAAGTGTTGGACTTATGCACACCAGATCGCGGAATCTGTCTAATTTAGCCGTCAGTTGGCACGGAATTGCGTATGAATCTATACATTCCGATATTATTCAGGAACTTATAAGAGCACCTGAAGAACCACAGTCCTATGCTTTAACTGAAAGAGCAGTGAAGGTTGTAGAAGAGATAAAGTTTTTTCCACATTATGCTCACCATGTTGCCACAAGCGATCACGCCGGGGATATACTAAAAAGGGTCTACATGATACCTGAAGAACGCGTCCACGTTATTCTGAATGGTGTCGATGAGGAGATTTTCAAGCCAGACATTTCCAAGGGCAAAGACTTTAAGTCGAAATTCGGGATTCTAGAGTCTAAGTCACTAATTCTAGGCATGGCAGGGAGGTTGGTGAAGGATAAGGGTCATCAATTAATGTTTGAAGCCCTAAGGCAGATTTTCAGTGAAAATTCAACTTTTCGGGATAGTGTTATTGTTCTGGTAGCTGGAGATGGTCCATGGGGTGCTAGATATAAACAACTCGGCCCGAATTTACTGGTCTTGGGGCCATTGGGACAGAGTCAATTGGCAAGGTTTTACAGTGCAATTGATATATTCGTAAATCCAACAATTCGAGCACAGGGTTTAGATCATACTTTGTTGGAAGCAATGCTGACGGGCAAGACAGTAATGGCAACAAAACTGGCGAGTATTACTCAGTCTGTGATTGTAAGCAAAGACGTTGGCTATACATTCCCGCCTACTGTAGTTTCGTTGAAGAAAGCTCTGTACGAGGTGTGGAGAGACGGAAGAGATGTTCTAGAGCGCAAGGGCGAGTTCGCCAGGAAAAGGGGTTTGCAACTATTTACAGCCACCAAAATGGCTGCAGCTTATGAAAGGCTATTTCTATGCATCACCAGCCAAGATTACTGTATGTTGCAGGTGCAAAACTAAACTAAACTCAACCCAAATGCATGGTTAAGAGAGAGATGTGAGTCAGTACTTTGCATTATTTGAAAAAACATTTAAAATATATGAATTCGATAAGTTTCATCTGTAAAGAAAGATAGCCAACAACAGAATCTGATTATTACAGAATTTTTGGCACATTTATATATTTAGGAACAAGAATTTCACATAGTCTGATAGTAGGTTTGAAATCAACATGATATACAAGATTTTGAGAACCCGTGACAAAAACTCCAAGTTCTGCTGCAAAAGGCTACATGTACTAATATTCAGATGCCAAATCTATATCAGATGGCTCCAATGCTTAACGAATCCCTGCAGTGCAAATACAAATATGAAGTATTACAATTATGTTGGTCCAAATATGAAGTATTACAATATTCATTTTTAGTTGCATAAAATGCATCGATTTCTTACTTTCCGACCTTTTTCTTTTTTCCCTTTGGTTGGAAAGATCGTGCGAGGAAGAGTAGAAGAAGTGCAACTTTTTTTTTTATAATTAAAGAATAACTGAGTTACGAAAGTAGTACAGAAACAACTGAATATAACTGCCCCTACCCCCATACAGGATCCAAAATAAAATTGAAAATTAAGAAGAGTAAAGAATTTATAAGAAATTAAGAAAGCCAGTTCCAAAAAGGGTTATCAGAAGAAAAAACGTTTAAATATGCCCAGAGGCAATGATTCTTCAGATCAAGCTAAGCATATAAGCACGCAACAAGTTGGAGGAAAGGAAAAGGGTATTCCTCGAAGGACCATGAAATAGCTTGGATATCATCATACCTGAAACAATAAAGATGGATTCACATGCCTTTGGTAGACAGAGGCAGAGTACTAGTAATAAAGTGACCCTGCAAAATGGTAAGTATGGTGATTTCAGTTTCATACATTTGGCTCTATGAATAAAGCAAATAGCAACTGACAACAAAACAATTTTACCTTGCCACCAATTTCCTCTGGAAGCACCTTGTGAATTGTTTCCACTAGGATCATCTTGCCCTCCATCTTTCTTGTACTGAGCTAACTCATTTGTTAGTTTTGTTAATTTACATATCAAATGTACTTGCAAACAATGATTTCAAGAAAAAGAACTCACGTTTGGATAGGATTGTGATATTTGAGCACTCGAAGACTGAATATACATATCTTCTAGCCCACCATAGTAAATAGAAGAACTCAGAGGGCAGGGTTCAGCTCTTTCCTGAAAGATCGAACGCCTTCCCTTGTTAGATATATGATTGGTTACATCTTCCTTATTCTTAATCATATCACCTGCAAGTCAGTGGAAAATTGTTGGGCTTATATTTCTAATGCATGTAATATATAAAGGCAGTGGTCTCTAAATTTCTTAATGGAACAAATAGCAATAATTTACAGAATGTTATTTAACTGACTTAAATATAAAAGATGTCAATGGATAAAATAACCATGTCACCAGTTCAACTAATTAAACTAAGGGATCACCAAAAAATTACTGCTGTATTTAAACCAGGCGATAAAACTTTATTATTTGTATTATTTTAGAAATTAAAGATATATTTGGCATTGGAGACGTATATTATTTAGGGCATGGGAAACAAGATGTTACATGTTATCACTGGATTCATGATCTGCCTTACCAAATAGCTGAACCAGCTATGCTTTAAGTTCTCCACCACCATACCACTGGTCCCGTGTAGGACGGGGGAGAGAAATTCATAAACTAAGAAGTTTTAAAGAGCTAAATTGTTATGGATTTTAATAGCAATACATGCACGAAGCACTGAATGAAAAAGATAGTGAGATTACACGAAGTTGTGCTCTTTCGAACATCTTACCAGAATAACTAGCGCCTCAGGACGATAAAGTCACAATTTCTTTTTTATTTCATTTATTTTACACAGAGAGAGGGCTCGGTTATATATGAATTTGCACATCAACAACAGTTTTTCTATAGTCCAAGAATCAGCAGGCAGGGTTTATTTAG